ATGGGGGGGGGGGGGGGGGGGGGGGGGGGGGGGGGGAAACGGACACCAACACACAAATGATTTGACCTGTTGTTGGTGTCGTATTGTGTGTGTGCGGCCCCCCGACCTTGCGCAGGTCCTGCTGGACGTGCTGGTGATCCAACGCCTGAGGGATGCACCCACCGCAACAGACACATAGATGATACTGACCGATGAAGTATTCTCGGAACTGACCAGGTGTTCGAACTGCTGGTTGATGAAGGCCTCCTTATTGCGCACACGCTCCAACGCACCGCCAATCTGACATGCGATTAACACCCACACCCATATGGCCACAGATGAGGTGGTTAGGTCAGACACTCCCCAGCCCTCACATCACCTCCTGTGATATTTTGTTGAGCTGTCCGCTGGCCGTCGGCAGATGCTCGTCCACTGTCTGAACAACACAGGCTCACATCACACCATCCACTTGTGTGTGCGTGTGGGTCTGGTTGGCACCAGACATACCTTCTTGAATACTTGTGTCTGCTCGAGGTGTGTGCGCCACTCCTTGGGGTCGTGCGGCATCGTCACCTTCAGCTTGGGCGTCACACGCTGATCGACACACAGACCGTTGGAACACAGATCCATGTGAGTGGCGGGCGGCCACCGGGCACTCATTGAAGCATTGAAGCATCGAGGCCTAACTGACCTCTAGTTCGAGGGCCCACTCGTGTGGGTCCACCTGGGTCTCCAGCAAACCCTGCTCCTCACTGCGCACAAAGAGCCAGAGAGGGGCCATATCGTATTACATCATGAGTGCAGCCATTCACCGACTGACCGTTCTTCGTCGGTTTTCTTGTCTGCGGTGTGTACGACCTCCGAGTACATGACGTCCTCGTCGTCCTCGGCGGCCGCGATGTCCTCCTCTAGTAACACCAAACAAGCCACACACATGGAAGCGAAGCATCAACCAGGCAGACAGGACGGATGACTCACACACACATGCCCACCCCACCCACGTACGTACGCGTACCCATGTCTTCTGCGTTGATCTCGGCCTCCTCATCGACCTCCGCCTCGTCATCTTGACTGATAGATAGACACAAACAGACACCCACCCACCGGTACACACGCCTGCGATGTGAATGTGTCGCTGTCTATAGTCCATCCATTCCATGGCTACCTTACCCCTCGTCGGGGAACTGTGGTGGCTGGAACTGGAAGCGGCGCGCCTGCAACACCTGCAAGGCGGTTGATGGACGAATGGACAAAGCGAAGAGGTGACTTGACAACACTGAGCGTGTTGGTGTGCGGTAGACTTGCCTACCGCCCTGAGGAGGGTGTGTATGAGGTTGCAGGTGAACTCCCCATACGCCTGACGTGATCAGAGAGATCGATACCACACCACACCCAGGCAGAAGAGATCGATGCCATCCACGCAGAATATCTTGGTCGGTGCGGCCA